CATCGGGCGGCTGAGCAAGGCAAGGTGTGAGTCAATGTGCAAGAGGTGAGAGGATGACCAAAGCCAAGCAGTGAGCAGCTGGAAGGATGGGCGGATGCATGATGAGTGATGGGTGCGGTGAGCAGTGATGAGGGTGTGTCATAAGATTGGGGGTGGATGGATGGGGGTGCACGAGTGACTCAGGTGTGGGGTCTGTCTGACATTGCTGCCTTGTGTTGAAGATTGATGGGTCACTTCTTTCCAGATGAGATGGCGGTTCTGACTGTGGCTTAGCTCAGCCTCTGTGCCCTCTGGTGTAGGGGGAGCAATTCCCCCTCCTTGCCCCTTGCAATGGGGGGGTGTCCCAGGAGTTCTGCTCTTCAGGGTCATACACCTGGACATGATAGAAAGGAGGAAGGGGCCAGGCCAGGGCAACATTTGCCCTAGAATGTCAGGGGACTGGGGTGTTGGGGGAGGAATGTCAGGAAGGCCCCGCCCCAGTGCATACCCCCTGGGTGCAGACCCCAGGGAAAGCATCATGACACCCTTGGGTCACCACAGCATTGCCTCAGGGCCCATCCTCCACCTCCCTCAGCCCAAAGCCAGTGATGTGCCTGTCGGCGCCATTTCTGCTCCAGCAAGACCCACATTGCCATTCTGGCAGCATCTGTACCCCCACAACACAACAGTGATGGGGCACTTCTCTTTGCTGCCCCACCCCTACCCCACAGCTAGTCCCATCCCAAAAGGCTGCCTCACTCTCGTGGGAGGCTGCTCCTGGCACCCAAAGGGAGCCCCACAGCTTGGCATGAAAGAGGTTTGGGCCAGACCAGTGGCCAAGCCTGTCAAGCAGGTTGCCCTATTTCCTTCTGGGGCCAGTGAAAACTGACCCCCTCTGGTGTCCTCTCTGAGGGCAAGACGGCAACAGTGCCCATCACTGTAAGAGTGGTAACATTTGTGGAGCGTGTCCCATGTGCCATGCCAATACGCACATCGCCCCACTCTCACAACAACTCTGTGAGCTGCTTACTATCACCTTCATTTTATAGAGAAAGAAACTGTGGCACAGAGAGGGTTCTGACTCGCTGAGAGCACAGGGCTGTCTGCTTTCCGAGTCTCGACCCCTCGCCACAGGCTCTGCCACACCAGACAGTAGAGGGCCTCGAATGCCAGGCTAAGGGACCTGACGAAACGTCAGGAGGCACGCTGAGCCCTGGAGGGTCCTGAGCAGGGGTGACCTGGTCAGATTCGCACTTTAGAACTAGGCTCATAAAGCATTAAAGCTGGAGGGGCCTTGGGGGCCATCTAGTGAAGCTGCCAGCTGTAAGGCAACAAGGGCTCACAGGAAACTCAGACGTGCATGCCCAGCTTCAGGATTCCAGACCAGGCCCTTCCACCACTGTGTGAGCCCTGCCAGGTCCTGGCTCCTCAGGGTATGGAGAGGGGAGCAGACCTGTGCAGAGTGCCTACTAGTCAAAGTGGAGCCAGGACAGCCCTGGGCTAGCTCCCCCTCACAGGGGCACCGGGCACCTGCCCCTCCAGCATGCTCCCAGTTCCCATCCTGCTCTAGGCCTCGTGCTCAGGCTGACATCTGAGTCCAGGCTTGAGAGCCCAGGGTGTGATGAGAAGGCTACTCCAGAGACCAGGCTGGAGGAGTGAGGTAAGGGGTTAAGGAGTGAGAAGTGGACAGAGGACGTGGGGGATGTGGGAGCCCAACGTGCCCAATAGGACATCACACACACACACACGCACAGACACCCCCTTCCAACTCTGCAGAGGGGCAGCAGGCCCGGGAGTTGCCACCCCAGGTGGAATGCCACTTCACTACTACTCTATGACCTTAAATGACAGCTACAATGACAATATTGGGCAGGAACCTGGTGCCAAGATAAGCACTTACTGTGCAGTATTTCTTTTAAGCCTCACAACCACCCTCCATGGTTGGTAGGACTCACTCAGTTTTACAGATGAGGAAACTGAGGCTCAAAGAGTTGATCACTCAGTAAGTGGTTGTCCCACACCAGAGTCTGTGTCGTAGCCACTGAGCTGCTTCCCCTGAGCCTCAGCTTGGCAGCAGGGGAGGAGTATTTGCCCCGAGGGCTGTGGACGGGGTTACAAGACCACTCTAGTGACAGCAGCAGGTCCAGCAGATGAGCGCACATGGGTGCCGAAGCCACGAGCCTTCCCATCCTCCTCTCTCTGCTGCTGTTAGCCCACCTGTGAGGTGGTTGAATGGGAGGACCATGGGGACCTTGGCAGGCAGCTGCAAGCAGAGCCCACACACCTCAAGGCCTTGGCATGTCTGGGATGTGTTCCTGATAGGGGTGTTGCTCTGCCAGGGCTACCTGCAGCATTCTCATCCCAGGCAAGTCCTGGTGGGGCAGCACCACTTCTCTACCTGCTCTTACCTCTGCTTCTACGAGAGGGCCAGCCCCTCCATCAGGGCACCCTGGCCAGCTGCTCGTTGTACCCCAGCCTGTGACTCAGCTCTGGGAAGTTCAGGGGAGGCAGGGCGGGACAAGTCTGGGCTGGCAGACATGGAATGGACAGAGGGCACACGCACAGGTATCGGGCTGCCCTGGTGAACTCTGGAGGAAAGAGGGTGCACTCACAGGGGTGCATGGCCGGGAACCCCTATTCTCACCCTCATTGGATCACATTTCTAACCCACCCTTTGTGCCATGAATGGGATGCCAGCCTTGCCTCAAGGAACTCCCAAACCCTCAGCCTGGAGGCATGGAGCGAAGGCAGCGGGTGTGTGGGAAAAGTTCCTAACCCACTAGCTCAGATGTGCCGGGGAGGGTCCGGGAGGGTGGGAGGGCCGCTCAGAGGAGGCAGTGCTTGAGCACCGTGAGTAGGTGTTGCTTAAGTGAGCAAAGGAGGGAAAGGCATTCCAGGTCAGGGAACAGGTCAAGCAAAGGCCTGGGGGCATGAAAGTTCCTGACCCATTCCCAGTCGATCCCTCTGCTACAGCATGACACCTGGGGCGTCTGCAGATGGGAGAGGCACAGGGGCTGTGTTGGGAGACCGTGAACCCCAAGCTGCAGGTCCTGGACTTTTGAAAAATGTGTGAATTAAATTGTCAGCGAGCTGGAAGGGTGGGTGTCCCGGGAGGGGTACAGCCTGAACAAAGGCTGGGGTGGGAGCAACTGGGCTGGCCCGGCAGGCGTGAGGACCTGTGGGGAGAAGATGATATACAGGCCTCCAGAGTCCAGTGGACTCTCCCGAAGTCAGGAAAATCACGCCGCATGTGAGGAGTTATTGCCCCTCCGCCTCAGGTGTCTCCCTCCCAGCACGGGCCAGGGAGGAACAAAGGCACCGGCTGGTCACGAGGGGCAGCCCGCTCTCCAGCTGTGGCCCCTCCACTCGCTTTGGGGTGAACTCGGCTCAAAGCCATCGCAGGAGAGCAAGGGGGATGGCTTGTGCCTGTTTACTCCCCACACAGGATTTCCTTCTGGTTTTGATGCTTGGAAAAGGCGCAACATCTGGAAGTAGGAAGCGGAACAGCCTCTAAAACCCGGCTGTGGGCGGCTTGCCTTGGACCAGCCCCAGCAGAGCACGGCCTGCAGTTGGGGCCAGGCCTTCAGTGGGAGGCCTGGAGGGAGCTCGCCCCAGACCAGTCGCTGTCTCTGGGTCCTTGTCCTCCCATCTCTCCTGGCCTGGGGATGAAACCAATGGATCGGGAGAAGGCGCAGCCTGCTCTGAGTCTCTTCCTCTTCCCGGGTCCCCTCACCCTGCCCACCTGCCGCGGGGAGGCAGCAGGCACAGCAGAGCCACCTGGGCTTTGGCTCAGACTTGGCCTGTGTCCTGTCTTTGCCTTGTCACAGCCCTGTGATCACCACACAAAGCCTCCGAGGTGGGGGCGTTGAGACCACACCCCTCACAGATTGTTTGGTTAAGTACCAGCACCGTGCCTGGACGGAGGGCGCAGGTGCCGTCTGCACTGGTTCCTCTTCCCAGCCGTGATGCGTACCCGCCACCGCAGAATGCCAGCCTGGCTGGACCCGCCAGACAGCGGGGAGAAGCAGGAAGGAGCAGCCAGTCACACTAGGGGACCAGGGCAGGCGCATTTGAGCTGGACTTTGAGGGCTGAGGGGGGATTGGATGGATGGTTAGGAGAGAGGACATTCCTTGCTGAGTGACTTGTGTGAACAAAGCTCAGAATTGCCTGGCGGACCCCTGCTGCTGTGAGGATAGGGTAGGAGTCAAGAGGGATGGGAAGGTGTGGAGTGTGCTGGGCCTTAGGCAAGAGCAGCAGGGTCTCATTTCCACATCAGAGGCTTCCTCAGCATTGCTGGGAGGAGGGAGGAGGGCAAGGATTCAGGGAGAGAGGTGGAGCTGGGCGGAGGCTGCATGACCGGGCGCTGTGTGTGTTGCTCTCTGTCCAGCCCCACCCCTGACCAGGGCATCACACGTCTGTACTGCTCCCATGGCATGCCCACTGCCCAGCACAGGGCCTGCTACGTGCTGGGCAGTGGATAGCCAAATGGCCAAATGACAAACCAAAGACACGGAGTTTACAAACATGGTCGTTATTCTGACCACAGCCAGCACTGATGCTCACTCCAGATGGACAAAGCCCCTTGACAGTCTGTGTCCCAGCCCTTGGGGATCTCATATCGGCCCTGCGTGTGGCCACACAGTTTCAAGCTTGTAGGCGAGGAAATAAGGCAGAGGAGGTGGAGGGCACCTGCCATCCTGTCCATCCAGGGTTGTGCTGCAGTCAGAGCTGCACCTCATTTCCAGGTGCCACTGCAGAGGGGATCCTTCCAGATCCAGAGATGGCAAGACCTCTTCTTCTCCAGCCCTGGTGACCATTCTAAGTCGGGGGTGTATTTTTTCTGGACCCTCTAGGGCTTCCCAGATAGAGTCTGGGTCCTGGGCTCTTCATGGGGAGCTGAACCAGGGCACCTGGAGGCCTTGAGCAGGACCAGGGGGCAGAGGACGCTGGGGGCCATTTCCAGGCCGGGTGGTGGGCCCTCGGGGGGCTGCACAGCGCCCCTTACCAGTCTCTCCCGCAGTTTGAAGGCTGCAGCAAGGCCTTCTCGCGGCTGGAGAACCTCAAGATCCACCTGCGGAGCCACACGGGCGAGAAGCCGTACTTGTGCCAGCACCCTGGCTGTCAGAAGGCCTTCAGCAACTCCAGCGACCGCGCCAAACACCAGCGCACCCACCTCGACACGGTAGGTCCGCGGCAGAGGCCAAGAGGGAAGCGGTGGAGGATGCACGCACGGCCCTACTTGTCTGATGCAGGGCAGGGGCTGGAGTCCATGCCAAACCCTGCCTTTGTCTTGAGCCCTATTCACATTTGGGGCAGGAAGATTGTTTGGAGGGAGAGGAAAGTCCTGTTGGGGGTATCCCTGGTCCCCACCCATTACATAGATAGGAGCAGTTTCTCTTCTCCCAGTTGTAACAACCAAAAATGTCTGTCAGCATTGCCAGATGTCCTGGGGAGGAGGTAGGAAACTCTCCCCAAGCTGAGAACTACTGCTCTGGCCCGTGGGTACCGGCCCGGGCACCAGCATCCTTGCAGACCCCACGGAACGAGTGCACTCACCATCCTGTGTCCTCTCCCCAGGCCTGTCAGCTACCCCCAGAGCAGTCCCCCTGCTCTTCGCACCTCACCGCCTGCAGGGAGACAGGCCAGAGGCTCTCCAGGGTCCCCTGAGCACAGTGGGCGAAGAGTTGAGGTGGGCAGGGCCTAAGACTCCAGGCCCCTGGAATAGTGCCCGGGGCCCCGATGCCTGCATGTTCACCTCCCTTCCCTTGCTTGTGCCAGCGTGATAACATGCGCCTTTATCACAGTGTTGCTCTGAGCATTCTGCCTCGTGCATACGGACGTCAGCAGTTAACCCAGCACTTCCTAAAACATCATCTCCCACCATCTCATACTGACCCTGCCAGTCATGGGGTCACTAACCCGTTTGAGAGATGAGGGAAGCAGGGCTCCGAGAGGTTCAGTGCCTGCCCAGCTGGAAGGTGGCAGAGCTGACTCAGAGCTGGGCCTCACGCCAGTCTCACCAGGCCCGTGTGAGGGGCCTGCACCCAGCCTGGGAGGACACCAGCCCCTGTGTGCAGCAGGTGATGGCTCTGCAGCCAGAGTCCACGTCTGGGCCCCCAGCCTGTGTCTCTGCTCTTCGTGCAAACGTTTAGGGAACTCTGCCAATGAGGGGCTGGGAGACCTGAGTGGCCATCCAGCCCAGCCTGTCTAGTACACAGATATACAGAGGAGGGAGCAGAGGCCCGAGACGGTGACTGACCCCTCCAGGGTAAGTTGGAGGCCACGAAACAGCAGAGGCCAGAGCTGGGGGCTCTCTGGTCCAAACTCTTTATTTTATAGTTGGAGAAACTAAGACCCAAAAAAGATGGGGGGGGGGGGTGTCAGAAATTAGCAGGCAAGACACATTTTGGGTCCAGGCCAGTCCCTGGGCAGAATGTTCTACACATCTCCCCCCAACCCGCCTGCATCACACACACCCTCCCCCAGTGTCATCCTGGAAATAAAGAAACTGAGGCTCAGAGAGATTAAGTCACTGGCTGTCACACAGCTAGTTAGTGGCAGAGCTGGGATGCAAACCTGGGTCTGTCTGCGTCCAAGTCCAGTGCCCTGTGCTGGAAGAACAGGCCTGCCAGCCATCCTGGAGAGGTGGCGCTGAGCAGAGTGGACGAGGTAGGGAAGAAGAACCCTGTCCCCAACCTGAACCCAACCCTCGTCTGTCCCCACCCTCCCCTTTCAGGCCTCACTGCCACAGCCTGCGCTGGGGACATGGAGTGGGGACGCATTCTCACATGCCCCTTCCTCCAGCACCTTCCCACGCGCCCCGTCCTTGGGCCCTTGGCACTGGCCCAGGCCCTGAGAAGCACTTTCGGTTCCCCAGCACCACACTTACAGCTCAGCAGCACCAATGGCCCCAGGCCTCTCTGCACCCCGCCCCCCAGGCCCGGGTGACGGCCTCTAGGGGTCACCTACCCTGACTTACCCACTCCTCCCTCCCCCCTTACTGCATTTCCTGGATCCAGCCCCAAAGCAATAGACTCTGGCCCCCACTTGGTGTGTGAGCGGAGCCGAGGTCTCAGTCAGCTCAGGCCCAGGACGAACCCGCAGGGTCAGCTCAGGCCTCATCTCCCCGAAGGGCCCGGTGCCCTGCTCACACCCACCCCCGTGGAAACACTGCAGGCTTGTACTTTCCCAGCATCCGCTGCTCAGAGGCCCAGCGGGTCAGCCCCATGCTGGCGGGGCCCTGTTTTCCAGTAGGGACCCAGTCATGTCCCCAACTCTCCTCTGGCACCAGAGAACATGGATTCTTTCCAAGGGCAGGAAAGTGGCGGAACAGACGAGAGAACCAGCCTGGGCTATAACTGGCCCTCCACTTGGTCCCAGAGGTCCGAGGAACGCCACAGAGCCTCTCTGGGCCTCAGTTTCCTCAAATGCCTACCTCACGAGAGGGGGGGTGGGTTTCGACTGAGGTGACGGATGTATAGACCTGACACATGGTCTGCACAGCAGTTATGAGTCCCTGCTTTTCTCCGTCCTTTGACTTGCTGGCCGAATGCTGACCAAGTCCTGCCCTGTCCCAGGCACCCAGTGTAGTGTTTGAGTCCTGACTGCCACTGACTCCCTGAATAAGCCACTATCCTGCTCTGGCCTCAGTTTCCCCAAGACAAGGGGTGATAACCTCTCCTTGGCCGCTTCTCTGGGCCCTGGAAGGCTGCAGATGGGAGGAGGGACCCTAGCGGAGTGTCAGGGACACACTCTTCCTCACGGTGAGATCGCCCTCATCTGCAGAGTGAGGATGTGTCTTACGGGGTGGGCGCACGGACGGAGATGGCGGATGGCGAGTGCTTAGTGCCGGCCTGTAGGGAGGGAGCGCTCAGGGGATGAGCAGCTGCTGTGAGCACGGATCTGGAGGCTTCCTGAGCCCCGTCTCCATCCTCACAACATGGCCAGGGGCGTCCTTGTTAACAAGGCTTCGGAGCCTGTGCGATGACTGCAGGCCTGGGGCCGGGCTGCCGCTGGGACAGCCACAGGGTCTCATGAGGGCTCCCGGGGAAGCAGGGCCGGAGGAATGTTCTATGCACATCAGGTCCTGGAAAAACAAACATGGAGATGGGCCTTGTGCCCTCTCTCCAGGCAAGTGTGCCTGCACACGCGGAGCTCAGTTTGTTTGCTTTTTGACAACAGCGTGTGGATTTGTATCAGCATCCCCAAGGGACGGGGCCTGGGGCAGGGCCCATGAGAGAGAGAAAGAGGGTGTGAGAGTGTGTGTGTGTGTACGTGCGCGCATGTGTTGGGGTCAGTGTCAGGCCCATGAGAGGGGGCCGTGTGAGTCTGTGTGTGTGTGCGCGTATGTGTCTGTCCCCCTGGGTGTGTGTGTCTCTGTGTGGTGCGGGGGCAGGTCTGAGCTGGGCATTCCACCCCGCCCCACCCCTCGTCTCAGCAGGCAGCCTCTCACACTCTGTCTCTCTCTTTTTGCTCTCCTCCGTTTCTTTAACCTGGCAACTCTCCGCGGCAGCACCAAGGTACGGTCGTTTCCTTCTGCTTCCCCTCCCCACACGGGCCCTGGGTCCGAGGTCCAGCGGCCTCGCCTCGGTCCAGCAGGGGCAGAGCTGCCTGGAGGTTTGGCAGCCAGTTCCACGTGGGCGTGTCTGACAGCAGCATAGCAGTGCCTGGCTTAATCTGAGAGGTGTCACCTCTTCCAAACGCCCTCCCCTCTGTCCCCTGCAGTCGCTGGAGCCAGACGGCCCTGAGAACTTGGAACCACTAGATGTGTTCTCAAGGGAAGCCTGAGGGATTTCAAGGCCAGCAGCAGCTGGAGTCCCCGGGCAGGGTCTCGCTAAAGCCCTGTCAGAGGGCTCAGAGTTTAGTTAGAGCCTGGATCCCTTGTCCTGGGTCAGTCCTTGGGGCCTGAGATGAATCAGAAGGGACCTTCCTCTGGGAAAACTCTCCACCTGGTGGAGGAGGACACTGAACAAGCCCAGCAGTGCAGGGGACAGTGCTGCCAGTGGGGAGCTCGGGAGGTGGAGGTGGGGATAAGATTCTAGGAGGGCTTGGAGAGGCAGGCGGGGATGCAGGGGCCGGGGCAGGAGGAGGGGGGAGACAAGCAGGACCCAATTCACAAAGGGCCCTCAGTGCCAGGAGATAGGCTGTGTCCGAGGGTGCCAGGGAGCCATGGAGGGGTTGTAGGTGAGAGCATCGCCAGGGCTGTGAGAAAGCTCCCTGGCCGTGAGTGTGAGGGGAGATAGGAGCGCCAAGAACAGGACGGGGCCCGGGCAGGAACCAAGGGGGCAGTGGGCTGGATTTGTTCTGGATGAGTGATGGGGGCCCCGAGGGGAAAGGACACAGAACCTCTGCCTCCCCAGGCCCGTGTCTGAGATTGGTTCCCTTCTGGCCTCTCGCAACTGTCAGGACGAGCACCTGGGTCTCTTGTGGCCCAGAGAGTGGTCTGGGGACTTGGGACCCACTGCAAGGTGTGGCCAGTCACTCGCAACCTGGCATCCTGGCCACGTTTGTGGCCCCCGCACGCCCTGCTGTCACCCTGTCCTCCACCTCCTGTTTTCCAAGGCACCCCCTCACCTTACTCCTCGTCCACTCCTCGCTTCTCTGCAGCTGTGGCTACAGAGGGTGTATGTTTCTCAGAGCTGGTGTCAGAGCTGGAAACATCCTTAGAACTCACTTGGCCTCATTTTGCAGAGGAGAAAAGTGAGATCCACAGAGGGGAGGCGACTCACCTGAGCTCCCAGCATGAGGGTGGAATGGAGACGCGGCCCCTCCTTGACTACAGGCCAGGCACCTTCCCCACACTGGTGGGCAGGGCTGGCTGAGTCAGACCCCTCCTGGCCTGGGGGGACACAGAGGGAGGGACAGGGTGTGAGCCAGCAACCTGCTCCTCATCCAGTCCTCCCCACTGCTGGTCACGCGGTGGGACCTTGGGCGGCCCCTCACTTGCCCCACCTCTGCCCCTCTGATGTTGCAGAAGCCGTATGCCTGTCAGATCCCTGGCTGCTCCAAGCGCTACACGGACCCCAGCTCCCTCCGCAAGCACGTGAAGGCGCATTCGGCCAAAGAGCAGCAGGTGCGTAAGAAGGTAAGCTGGCCATTCCAGGCCCACTCCTGCAGACGCCCTCCTGGCCTCCCACCACCCGGCCAGCTTCAAGCCAGGTACCCACACTCCTTGCTTGCTTCACCCTTCCACACACCGGAGGGTGCTGCTGTCCATCATCCACCGTCTGCCTCCCACTGGGCCCCTAAATGTACTTCCTCACCCCAGCCAGTGGGACATTTGTCTGCCCACTCACCACGGCTCATTTAGTGAACTCTTGATGTCAGGCTCTGCGTAGGCACTGAGGATGCAAAAACGGGAAACCATGGTCCCCACCTTCAGTTGGGACCTGGTGGGTGTAAGCCAGACATAATATAATAAAGACTGTGATAGAGGAATGCAAAGAAAGTCAGGGGCACAGAGAAGGGGCCTCAGCCCATCGGGATGGGGACAGGAGGGTCCGTGGCATGAATGACACCAGGGCAGTAGGTGCAGTGGTGTGTGCTCTGGAGCCAGCCTGCTGGGCTCACCACTATTGCTCCTGCGGCCTTGGCCAGAAGGAGCACCAGGGTCAGACTTTGGGGGGCAGGATGGATGGACAGAGAATCCAAGGAAGAAGCAGATTTGCAGAAGAAAGCAGTGAATTCTGTTTTGGATGAGGAGTGTGTGAGCCGCTGATGGACCCAGCGCAGCTGGAGGGACAGGATTGCAGCCACATCTCCAGAGGACCACCAGGGAACTTGAGTGCCAGGGAGGCTGTGGGTGTGAAGAGAAACACCAGGGGCCAGTCCGGGGACATCAGCATGACAGAGGAGGACAGACGAAGAAGAGCCCGTCAATTTGTTCAGCTGGGTTGTGGAGCACCTGCTGTTTTCTAAGCACTGTTCTGGGAGCCGTGGGTCCAGCCATGAGTAAAGCAGAGAAAGGCCTAGAGGCTGGAGCAGTCAGATGCTTTAGTCCATGGGATGCAGGCACACAGAGCTTGGGTGCTGGGAGCAAGCAGGCCTCAGGGAGAAGGACAATGGGGAGGGGACAGTTAGGCTCAGACTTTGGTCTTCACCCTGCAAGCAGCAGGAGAGCAGAGAAGGGACGCGGTCAAAGGGTGCACCGTGAGCTCCCTGGTGAAAACGCCGCACCTGTGTTCACCCTGAGACGGGAGGGACGAGCCTGAACCCCGGCTGAGCTGGTGCTTCACAGGCCAGAGCTTATGTAGTCCTCCCTATAACCGTAGGAAGTGGGCACTGTTTTTCCCATTTTAGAGATGTGGAAACTGAGGCTCAGAGAGTTACCAGATCTGTCCAGAGTTGTGCAGCGTGGGAGTGACAGCGCCAGGGTCCCATCCCAGACCTGTCTGTCTTGGAGCCTGAGCTCTTTCCACTGCTCGCAGGTTGAGGGGCCTGAGCAGGGATGCGGAATGGCCCAGGTTCCACGCAAAGGAGGCTTCTGTCCTGAGAGGACTGGTGCCCGAGGACCAGAATGCTGCCCTGGTTTCCCAGGCCCCGTGCTTGGCTCGCACTGAGCCCCAGGGACCTGGGGCCGCAGATCCACAAACTTCCCAACAATAAGCATCCATTAGGAGCCGTCGGGGCTGATGCATCTTTCTGGGGAAAGCAACCCTCGTATTATGACAGCTCCTTGGCAGCCCTGCCGCATTTCAGAGAGAGTCAGAAATGCTTTTCTTCCTTAATCTTCTCTCCTGCTGCTCCTCATCCGATCGACATAGCCATCTGCAAGAAGATGCCTTGGCCCTCTTTTGCCAGAAACTTAATTTACGTGGAAAACAGCTGCTGGGTCAGGGAGCTGAGAGCCGATCTGGAGGCTGGACATGCCTTCCCCAGGCCTGGGTGCTGGCCTTCTGGCCTGGGAGGGTGGGAAAACCCTCAGGGCTGACTCTCAGCTGCTCTGTGTCATGGGACGAGTTTCTCACCTTCTCTGGGTCTGTTCTGTCCCAGGTAGAATGAGGATTTGCACAGGTCAACTTTCAGGGCTCTGGTAATCAAGCTTTGGAATTTCCTGGGGAGAAGAGGCTGGTCCCCTCCAGAGGCATTCCCCCTCGTTGCCCAATGTCCCTAAGGCCCCAGCCAGCCCCTCCCTGGCCCCATCTGGAGAGGGGAAGACCTTCTGAGGTGTCCAGCTCAAGTCTGTCTTCGGATACAGCCAAGGGTTCTTGGCCAAAGATTTCTTGGGTTACTGTGCTTGTCCCAGCCCCGGCTTGCTCTTAGCCAACGACTTCAAGTCCTTCTGTCCATCCAGTGTGCCCACTGTGGTGCAACCATGTGGCACTCGGCCGGCTGGAGCCAGCCAGCCCTTCAGACCACACATTCCCCACGTGAGTTCATACCCATCACGTCGTTACTCCTCACAGCAGCCTGGGCTGAGGCGGTGGGGGGAGACCCAGAGAGGGTAAGGGATTTGTTGAGTGTCACACATTGTCACACACACACGGAATAAGAAGAGGTGGAGTAAGATTTGAACCCAAGTCTTCTGTCTCTGGCCCTGCACTGTCTCCACTGCCCCTTGAGCCAGAAGGAGGAGAGACAGGGAGGAAGGTGGGGAGGAGGGAAAGATGCTGACTCCCAACGCATCAGTTCCCCTGCATGGCAGCCACAAGGATGTGCCTCACAGACCTCCAGCTACCCATGGGAGGTGCCTGCTGCTGCCCTCTGACGGCCGTCTCAGCCTCTGTGCTTAGGCCGTGCCTCCCACAGGCTGCTCCCAGCCAGCACCTAGGCTGGGAAGGCCCTGCGGGGATACTGAGGCAGGCTCCTTCCTAGGAGACACAGGGCCCCCTGACTTCCAGCAGACTCTGGCTCCCTGAGGACTCCCAGTCTAGGAAGCTCCCCCCAGCCTCCCTCCCCTCATTCCTTCCCCCAGGGTCAGACTTGGGACGCACCTGATGGCCCCCTCCCTATGTTCTCCCCACGGCACTGGCCCTATTAAGATCCATGCAGGTTTGATCTCGTCTTAGCATCTGCTTCTCAGACCTGAACTAAGACAACCTTCACAATGTATACGATTAGCCCCAATTTACACATGAGGAAACTGAGGCACAGTGAGGTGGAGGAGCTTGCCCTGGGGCCACCATCCTTCCTGCCCTGTCCCCTAAAGAGAGGGTCCCCAGTGGGCAGGTGGTCTCTCACAAACACCCTCTCTCCCTCTGCTTGCTCTCCAGCCGCACACGGTCCCTGACACTGAGACCGATGTCCTGACCGAGTGTCTGGCCCTGCAGCAGCTCCCTGCGTCCACACAGCTGGCCGCCAGTGATGGGAAGGGCAGCCGCAGCCTGGGCCAGGAGCTGCTCCCAGGTACGCACGCGGGAGGCAGCTCTGTGGGCCACCAGGGGCCATGTGGCACGACCCACTGAGTGGCACTCACTCCCTGGGCTTCATCACCTTGCAGCTTATGTAACTAGGCATACGTCACCTCCCTCTCTTGCGGGTCCCCATCACCCCCGGGATGAAGTCCGGGCTGCTCTCGGCCTGGCCTCTGATGCCTCGCAGGGCCTGGGCCCTCCTGGTGGCCTCCCGCCCCAACCTTGGTACATGATGCAGGTCCCTGAACACCTCTGCTCCCTCTTGCTTCTGAGCCACAGCACACAGCTGCTGGCCCCTCTCCACTCCCTTTCACCTAGGCAGCTCCTGCACGTCCTGCAGGGCCCACCTCGGTTCAGTCCTGGGCCTCAACTTGAAGTCCCGTGGACTCCCCACCAGGACCCCCCACTGGGACTCCTTGCCTAAGGAGAGAAAACTGAGGCCCTGAGAGGGTGGGCAGCTTGCCATAATCACTTCCAGCTCACCCCTAAACTCTGTGGCACGGATGGGGCCCCTCAACCCCCAGGACCCTGCAGGCCCATGCAGCTGGACATTCAGAGCCCCTGGTCCGGCTGAGGCGGACTGTCTGTCCCTCATGCAGCCATGGGCCACTGGGCAGGTCTGGGCCTGGCAGGAGTTGCTGGCTGCCCAGAGCAGGGCAGCGGGGCTGTGGACTCCAGCTGACAGTACTCATGCTCTCCCACGTCCCTGAAGAAACCACGGGATCAGAGCAGAAAGCTCTTCCTGCCCTCTGGGATTTCTCGAATTACTCCAACCATTTGTAACATTTTTTATTTTCTGACTTTTTATTCTTTCCCCTCAGCTCTGAAGTAGCAGCCGATTTAAACCTGTCAAAGTGCTTCCCAAACAGCCTGGGGAAGAGGTTTTCCCCTTTCCCAAGGGTCCCCTCACAGGGCTCTGTGCTCAGGTCCATGAGGGCGAGGACGCCCAGGAGGATGGGTCGGTGGAGGAGGGACCTCACCCTCCAGCCAGGGGCCCCTCTGCCATGGGCTGCTTCTCCCAGGGTCAGAGTTGCTAGCACGGCAGGGGGAGTTGGGATCAGAGGGACGACCAGCCCAGGGATGAAGGTTTGCATCTCAAGTGCCAGCTCCCAGGGCTGGGAATGACCGCTTGGGGCTCTGTGTCGAGAAGGATGCTGAGGCTCCCTGACACAACAGGAAAGAGGGCTGCAACTGAGTAGCCGTGGCTGCCTGGGCAGAGGTCCTGCAGCCCCATCGTTCTTACCCTGGGAGGACTCAGGCCTAAGCAGGAGAACTTACCCAGGGTCATCGCGAGAAGTCAGTCTCAGATCCCGGCTGGAAGCCTGTTCTCCCAAATCCCAGCCCAGGGCTGATCCCAGGGAACGTGCAGGGCTGACCCCAGGGAGTGTGCAGGGCTGACCCCAGGGAGCGTGCAGGGCTGACCCCAGGGAGCGTGCAGGGCCACGACACCACCTCTGGGGCCCGTGCTTGGGCCAGTCACTTGAGAAACATCGTCTTGTGCAGTCCTCAGCCCCCCGTGGGGTGGCGTTGAGTCCATGCTATGGACGAGAAACATAGTCACTGAGGCGGCAGCACGGACTGGAGGGCACAGATGCCGCGCCTGCCAGGCCTGCCCTGTGACAGTGAGTGAGCCGTGTCTTCCCTGCTTTGAGCCTCAGTTTCCCCCCCCAGACCTGCTGTGAGAACCAATGCAGTTGTGGATGGGATGCTTTCTATGTGACCAGTGACTTTAATCATTGTTACTGTTGCTCATGGTCAATGAGAAGAGTAGCTGTCGACTCATCGGCCTCGTGGTAATGCAGCAGCCAGCGTGCATTGACGCGCCGGGAGTCTCTCCAGGAGCTGCACGTAGACGTGTTAGCTACATAATCCGCACAACAGCCAGATAAAGTACAAGCGGTTAAGCTCTTTCTTTCCACATGAGGAAACTGAGGCCTTGAGAGGTTAAGTCGCTTTTTGCCCAAGATTTCACAGCCAGCGAACGTCAGAGGCTGGATTTGAACTGAGGCCATCTGGCTGCAGGCCATGCCCTTAACCAAAGAGTCGGCCACCTCTCTGCTTCTCAAATGACACCTGTGCCATACTGAGCACCGCTGTGTGCCGGGCCTGTGCCGGTTCCTGTCCTCCAGCTGCTTCCAGAACAGCAGGGAGGGAAGGGCCAGCCAAGCAAATCCAGGGGTCCTGGATCCCCCTGGGCTCGGCTCCCAGGTTCTTCTCCAGGACACACGGGAGATGCCTGAGGCACGGTGGGAACAGACGTTAGGGCCAGAGGTCCAGTGCGCTGACTGATGATTGATGACGCTGATTTACAGCTGAAGCGGTGCGTCCTGGGGAGAGGCCGGCAGGCCGCATGGGTCCCCACTCCTGCTGCCCCTCAGGATCCGGTGATTCCCTCATTCCCATCCGCTATTTGTTCACAAGTTCAACGTGCCTCGTTCACATACCAAGTCGCCCACCATATATTTGTCCCCTGGGGGCTGTAGAGGCAGGGACCTGGACGAGGGCAGGGCAAAGGCAGGGGAGGGGGAGAGATTCAAGGAGTGTTAGGATAGAAGAGTCCAGAAGAGAGAGTGAGTGCGAGGGAGCTGGCGAGGGTGAGAGTGAGTTTCCATCATCACTATGGGAAGCTCCCGCAAGCTCGTCTCTCATTGCACGAAGGCCCAGGAGCTTCTCTGATAGGCAGGCCCCCTTTAGCAGCACCAGGGCACCGTGATGGGCAGTGAGGACAGGAGAAGCATGAGGTCAGCGTGGCTGAGGAAGAGGGAGCAGGATTTGTCGGGATTCTAGGCGTCCTAGCTGTCAGGCCCCCAAATTGGTTCAAGATGGCAGGTGGGGAGGTGCTAGGAAGAGTGGTGAGAGGAGCAAGCCGTGAGCAGAATCCCCTCGAGGTGCCTTCCTGAGCAAGTGGGGGATGTGTGAGAGAGGCAGCGGATGGGTGGACGGGTGGTGCTGCCTGTGGGAACACAGGTGTCCGAGACAGGGGAGGGTAAGGACTGGGGCGGAGAGCTCATCCAGAGCCCTGGGGTGTCACAGCCATCCACAGTGAGACCCCAGGCAGAGGCCCCCCTGCCGGCCCTCCAGGCCACAGCCAGAGCTGGGGCTCCAGCTCTTTCCTGGACCTGGCCTTCAGTGGACTTCTTTTTGGCGTCACTTGAGAGAAAGGCCTGATTAGCTTCCCACTGTGTGACTTTTGACAAATCATTGACGTTCTTAAGACTTAGTTTCTTCATCTTAAAATGAGATCATATTATCTCCTCTGTTGACAGTTGTTGAGACAGTTAAACTAGATACTGTAGAAAAAGAGCTTGACGCAAGTATATGCTAAATTAACAGTAACTGTTGTTGATAGTATGCATTTATTGTAAGAGTAGAATTTCACTTGATGTAACCCATCCCAAGGATGTCTGCTGCTCTAACCCCAGACCAGGTGTTGCAAACTGTTTGGTCTCATAGGAATAGTGTTTGCTTTTTAACAGTTTCAATGTAAGGCCTTTACGGGGCACATTCTCTCTGCTTTGCCACAGTCCCCACTGCTCCCTATTGATAACCCCTGTGGTTTCACTTATTTTGCTCCCTGCCATGCCACCTATGTCATTGAGCTTGCCATCCCTGCCACAGCCCTGCCCAATTCCTTATAACAGCTCCCTGAATTGCATTTCTGGGCTAGAGGGGCCAGCCCGGGATGGGCTAGTCTTGGAACCCCAACTACTGGAGAAAGTAAAAGTTCCTCCCTTATGCCATCCCTGAAAAGTGCACGGTGTGTTCGCAGGTGGTCCTCATGAAGTGATACAGACCACTGGGTCTGGATGCATGATGACCAGAGTGACATTCAAGATGTAACAGCTGAGCTCTGACCAGTGCAGTTCTGGGCACGGCCCCAAGGTCCACAGAGTCCTCCCAGGGCATCAACTTGGTGAATTGGTTTCTGGGAAAATGATGTCAATTCCTATTAAAATTCAAATAAACATGGCCAGACTAAAGAGGGGGTGGCAAAATTGGCCCTCTTTTTACAGAAGGAATAGTGAATGTCAAAAACTCACAACCCTCGCTGGGTCCCTCTCAGGCTCCAGCCCCAGAGTAGGGGTTCATTCTCCCCTCTAATTGGGGTTCCTTGGTGAAGGCATTTGGGAAGCAATGGCCTTAGTAACTGCTCTCAGACCCTCAGCTGGGTCCCTGGAACAACATCTGACTCTGACCTAGTGTCCCTCATTGGATCCATCAGCCCACCTGTCTTCTTAACAAGGGCGTCACAGGTGGTGTCACCCTACAAGTATCTTCTGGAGGTTTACAATCTGAGACTAGAGCACGGCTGACTCTTCTCCTCAGCCAATCCTTGTGCAGTGTGCAGCCTGTACACATCTGTGGCATCCCTTCTCAGTGGTCTCGCAGGCCAGCCTGCCATCCAGCTAGCACAGTCATCCTTTCTTTGGAACCCCTCACAGTGGACATCCAGGCTCTGCTTGCACATCTCTGGGGATGGGTAGTTAATTTTCTCCAAAGGGAGCCTGGCGCCCTCCAGCAGCTGCCTTCTAGAAGATGCGGCCACACCCTGAGCTGGTGGCTTCTCTCCATTCTTGTCTGCTTCTGGGGCTACACATAGCGAGCCCCTTCTCTCCTAGAACAGCCCCAGAGATTTGAGGCAGCCTGCTCCATACAACCCTCTTGCCCCAGTACGCACAGGCACACACACGGGCCCGACCACCCCATGCCTCTGACTGTCCCTTGTCAGTCCACTTCTGCTGTCAGGGTGGGGCGTGGCCAGAGCAGAGTGGGACCAATGTCTCCCTTGTTCGGGCCCCTAACCTTCTGTTACTCTGAGTTCGCTGGCTCCCTGTCTGGTCTCTCCCTCTCCGTAAGCAGGCTCACTGCTCCGGGCCACCCGCAGCCATCTCTAGGGAGTCGCAAGGCCCAGTGGCATCTGCTTGCTTCCCTGCAGGTGTGTATCCCGGCTCCGTCACCTCCCATAACGGGCTCACCTCAGGCCTCCTGCCCCCGACGCATGACGTCCCTGCCAGGCACCACCCACTGGACACCACCACCAGTTCGCACCACCATCTGTCCCCGCTGCCCACGGCCGAGAGCACCAGGGATGGGTACGTACAGCGAGCCGTTCTCCTCTGGGGGCAGCAAGGAGGCGCCCGCATGGCAGGCAGGTGAGGGCAGGCATCCTGCACACTAAATGGCCATTACCAATAATGAAAATAGTCAGCATTTATGCAGCACTTACTGTGTACGGCACCCTGTGCTCAACACTCTCTCTGAGGATTTCGTTGGTGCCTCAGAGTAACCCCACCAGGGAGATGGATGTATTGGCACCCGGGCCTCTTGACGCCCCACCTTGTGCACCCTCTCCTCTCTTGGGGGGCAGCCTTGGGAAGAGGCTGTGCCCCTACCTGACCCCTGCATTCTGGGCTGCCTCACCCCAGCTTCTCCGTGGCTCATACCATGTTTGCTGAGCAGGCTGCCCACTGCCCACTCCAGGGGTGCTGGCCTGGGCCTCACCCCAGCTTCTCTGTGGCTCACACCGTGTTTGCTGAGCAGGCTGCCCATTGCCCACTCCAGGGGTGCTGGCCTGGGCCTCACCCCCTCTCTGGCCACTGCAGCTGTGACCATTGCCTGGTGCTAGGCTGTCCAGGAGCCGGACTGCAGGATGGCCGCAAGGAGGGTGGCCCTTCCTGCACTCAGTGTGGTTCTCATTGTGGCCACTTAATTGGCTGCATGGTGAATGTGCTGATTGCTGGCCCCAGTGCTGCCAAAATCTGCTGTCCCCATAAATGGGCAGAGGGCGGCCTCACAGCCCCACCGCCTGCCCTCCTGCCACTGTCGTTTGCCACCAGCAGTGACTTGCTCAAACTTGTCCCCCAAGGCCTGGCCCCTGCACCTTCCTTCTCCCCAACTCCTCCTCCCCAAGGCTGCAGCCTGGGCCTGGGCCTGGGCCTGTCTGCGCCTGGGACCAGCCTGGCTTCATCACCAAATTCGTTGTCCAGGCTCCTAACTGGGCGCCTTCTCCCAGTCGCTCCTTCATTCATTTGATGTCCAGTTGTGGAGCCCCTGGTGTGGGCAGGCCCTGGGCCCAGTGCTGGGGCCACTGATGACAGAGAGACCTGCCGGGAGGGACCACACTGGGCAAGTACCCTGAGGGGAGGAAGGAAGGGGAGCTGTGGAAGCCCCAAGGAGAGCCCAGTGTGGTGGAGGAGCATGTCAGGGAGGCTTCCTAGAGGAGGTGATGCTAAGCCGGGCCTCCAGGGTTAAGTAGGAGTTGGCTGAGGGTGAGGTGAGGAAGAAGGAGCAGCAGGAGTGAAGGCAGGCATGGCGAGAGCTTGATGTGTCCTGGGAAATGTGAACCGTCTTGTAGGGTGACAAGTTCAGGAGACAGGTCGCTGGGGCCAGACCACAAGGCCTATAGCAGGACTCTATCCAGAGGGTGTTGAGCAGTGATGTGCTCAGGTGTGGGGATGAGAAATGTGCCCAGCCTGTAGCACAGGGCTGGCGTGCCGGGCGCAGCACCGAACATGGGTGCGGGACGGCAGCCTGAGCCAGGGCCCGTGAGGGACGGAGGACCACCCAGTAGTCACGTCAGATAAGCAGGACTTAGGGAGCTCCGGCTGGGTGTGGGGAGGGGGCGTCAGGGATGAGCCACCAGGAGCCGAGGAAGACCGTGGGGAGAATGGGAAGGAGCCACAAAGAGGCAGCCTCACCTTTGGGTGCAAAGAGGACCCAGAAAATGAGCCCTTCCCCAGCCTCAGTTTCCTCCTCTGTAAAATGGGCATTAAAACACCCTTCCAGCAAGGCGGTGAGGACCGCCTACACCTGACATGCATGTGTTACCTAGTAGAGGTCCCACGGACACCAACACCCTGCCCCTCACCCTCAACCCCCTCTCAGCCACCTGCTCACCCACCAGCCCACCCAAAAACATCTCCAACCGAAGGAAAACAAACCACAGAGGGCCTTCCTGCTCGGGCCTGTGCCCTCTGCTCCTCCGGGTGCATCACCGGCCTGCCGCCTGCATGAGTGCCCGTCGAGAATTCCTGCAGCGAGTGGCAGAGTGATGACAAGACCGACGGGGCCCCCAGCCGCTGGCCCACCCGCGCCTGCCGCAGCCGGCCAACCACCAAGGCCAACCACCAGGCTGCTGGGGCTGTGGGGGACAAAGGCCCTCATGCCTGACCCCAGGCAAGGCCCAGCGTGAATGGGCTGCTTTTTTCAGCCCCAGAGAAGATGGGGAAAGGCCTTCAGCCTCCCTTCCTGCCAAAGTCAACAGGGAGGCCACTAGCGGCTCCCCAGTGGTTTGCTGGGACGTTTAAATAGCTTGACAGAATTATCTGATTCACTCAAAAATATGCTAAGAGGGCCTGACTTCATGACCAAATTTATTTACCCTGGCTCAGAGAGGACGCTGAATAGGGTGGGTTTTTTTCCCTCGGCCCGTGCAAGGTATGAAGCCCTGGTCTGCCAGGCCAGTGAGGTTTTATATTAATTTTTATAGGTTCCAATTGAAGCAAAAATATTTGACTTGGGAATCATTTGCATGACTCAGAAGAGGAGCTCCAGCTGATCCTGTCTCCTTGTAAAGGGCTCAGGTGCCGCAGCCGGGCTCGCCTGCCTGTCTGTGTGAGAGCTCGTTCTGTTTAATTTCACTGGCTGTGAAGGTGGCAAACAGGGATTGATGGCAGGTTTGAGACAGGAAAAACAAACTTGGAAATGCATGTTTTCCCCTTCAGATCTGGTTCTCCTTACTTCTACAATCTTGCTAATCTCTGGGTTTTGTAGCCGAGCGGTTCAGAAACGCATTTGTTAGGGCTGATCAGCTGTCCGCTGTGTGCCAGGCCCAGTGCTGAGCGCCAAGTGACTGGCAGGCCCGACACTGGCCCTCCCGCAGGAGCCCCCGGGGAGGGGCCGACAGGAAGTCAGGGAAGAGCCGTGATGTGGGTGCCCGGGAGGGGTGTTCATGAGGCAGGTGGCGCCATGCCGTGGCCCGAAGGGGAGGACCCACCGTCCTAGCCACGCCTCGGCCCAGCCTCAGCCAAGAGAACTGGTTAGGACGACACAGCTTGTGCACAGCCCTCCACAGTGTGTAGAGCACAGTGGTAGACTGTCCCACTTGAGGGCCCTGTGAGACAGGCCCACAAATGTTAATGATGATGATAATGATAATTAATTTGTGGAGCCTTGATGACGACTCAGTTCATTACCTTAAAGGGGCTGACACTGTACCTACAGTGTGTGAGTTTCGGGTCTGGGGGCCCGGTGCAGAGGCCCCCCCCAACCCCGCTGCTGACAGAAGGGGCATCCCAGACATGTGAGTGACGACAGCACAGTGGAGGGGTAGTGACAGCGCAGGGGGACTCGGCAGAGCTGGGCATGGAGCCCACTGGCCCCTCCCCGAATCCCCTGTCCCCGTCTCGGGATGGTCCTGCTTCCTTCAGAGAGCCGTGGATGTGTCTTCTTAGCACCGCGTGGCCGCCTGCAGCTGTGACGCCGAATTCACAGTGTTTTACTGTGGACAGTCCAACAAATCCGCAGACGCAAAGACAACAGAGAGTCTGGCTCTCCACGTCGCCCTCTTCCTGCAGCGCAGACGTGCCGTGCAGGCCGTGAGCCTCCAGCCCCGTCCCCCGAGCCCCACGCCCAGCTGATCCCCGTGTCACTTTGGTTGCTGTGACCCCAGAGGCTTCGAAAGGCGGCATGAGGAGGGAAGGGCGTCTAGAGTGACATGCGGGCCAGTTGGGTGGCCCCTGGGCTTCCAGGTTCAGGCTGAGTGCACAGCTCTCGGCAGCTGCAAGCCTGTTTCAGAATGTGAGCTTCCACAGAGCACAGGCTTCAGCCTGCATCCCCTCAGTCTCTGTATGAATGGAAGTGGTGAGTCCTCCATCACAGGAGGTATGCAAGTGGAGGAGAAATGGCCAGGAGTGGAGGCAGAAGGTCCCTAAAAGTACACCATGCAGGGGAATAAAGACCAACTTGGACGTCAGACCTACTTTGCTAATTTTCCTTCCCTTCCTCTTGATAATAATGATGATTCACAGAAGGGCTAAGAATGTATCTGACATCATCCTGGGTGCTTTGTCTACACTGCTTTATTTAATTTTATCCTCACTATAACCCATAAAGTCAGTGCTGTGTGGCCAGGAGTAACTTGGACAACTTCTCTGAACCTTGGTTTTTCCATCTGCAAAAAGCACACAGGAACCTCTCTCACAGACCTGGGGCGTGGCAGAGGCTCGATGAATGGTGACTGGTAGTGACTGCTGCGGATATCCTTCTTGCTGGGGAACTGCCACGGCTTTCAGTGCGGGCTGTCCCTGGGCTCGTCCTCCAGGTGGCCGGAGGGGCAGGCACAGAGTTAGAGCATCGGGCTCCAGCAGGGTGGCTGGCATCCAGCCCTGGGTGAGGAGAGCTGCAGCTGCCAGGTGGAGGACACAGCAACCCCACAAGGAAGCCGAGGCTCAGAGACATGAAGCGACTTACCGAAAGTCACATGGCAGGCGAGAGCAGGAGGGGTTTGCAGCACAGCTTTGTTGAGTCTGAAGGTCGTGCTGGTACCAGCGTTCCTTGCTGACCATCAGTCCAAAATGCAAGATAGAAGATTTTCTTTACTGATTCCTTTGGCCTCTAAAGCTTACAGGATTTTAAAGTTTAATTCCAGTTCGAACATAATCAGAAATAAAAGCTTCCCCTTCTACCTGCATTTTGGTAAGTTAGAGCAACTCAGCTAGTGAGCTCCCCGTTGCTGGAGGGGACCAAGCGGCGCAGCCAGCCCTCTGGCCCCCACACACCCCAGAGCCCTTTCTGCTGACGGCCATCTCTTCTCTCCAGGTTGGGACCCAGCCTCCTCTCGCCCATGGTCAGCCCAGTGAAGGGGCTTGGGCCACCACCGCTGCCACCGTCCTCTCAGAGCCATTCTCCAGGGGGCCAGCCCTTCCCCACACTCCCCAGCAAGCCGCCCTACCCGCCCTTCCAGAGCCCTCCGCCCCCGCCTCTGCCCAGCCCACAGGGTAAGCGCTGGTGGGGGCCCCTCCTCCACACCCACAGATTCCATGCCGGGGGCCGAGAGAAAAGGGACCCTGACCCGGGGAGGCAACGCTGAGGGCCGCACTAGGAGGAGCCGGGAGTCAGGTGCCCCGGCTGCCCCCCATGCACCACCGAGTCGGGGCGCTTCCTGGAGGGAGTTCATTCTGTGGGTGAGGAAGAGCCTGTCCCCTCGACAAGGCACCCGGGTCAAGGGCTCTCCCAGCAGTGGGAGCAGCATGGGAACGGCACGGGCAGTGGCAGGGTGGGGTGGGCTGCTCCGAGGAGCAGCGGGTGATTGGGTATTGGGGGGGGTGGACAACCATCCCTTCCGCACACTCTGGTCGGTGACAGTGGCTCGAGTCAGGTGAGCCACATGGGGCCACGTGGCCGACCCCCTCCGGGGCAGCTGAAAGGGGGCTTAGGCCCCTGCACCTTCTCCCCCTCCTCTCTTCCATGCCTACCGTGTCTGGACAGGACAGGGTGGGGGACTGAGCGGGGCAGCAGGGAGGGTCCCCTCCCAGCCCCAGGTATTTTTCCTTTGTTGATGTGTCCCCTGCCGCGCCCTTCTGCAGGGTACCAGGGCAGTTTCCACTCCATCCAGAGTTGCTTCCCCTATGGTGACTGCTACCGGACAGCGGAGCCCACAGCCACTGGGGACGGACTGACCGGGGAGGCCCACAGTTTCAACCCCCTGCGGCCCAATGGCTACCACAGCCTCAGTGCGCCTTTACCTGCCACAGGTGAGCTCCACCTGCCTGCCTCCCTTCCCTGAGTGCCTAACAGAGCCCAGCCCTGTGCATGCGCCCTGTTCCGCAGCCATGGGACAGCCCTGTGAGGGTGTCATCCCCACTTTACAGAAGAGAAATAAAGGCTCCGAGACATCTCAGGCCCCCACAGAACTGGGATCTGCGCCCTGCCTGACACCAGAGTCAGTGTCCTCCCCCGGCTTGTGCGCCTAGACTCTGGCAGGTTTCTGAAGACACAGGGAAGACGAGACTGGGAGCTAGCAGGCCAGCTGATGTTTCCCTTTAAATACTTCCTGAGCACCTACTGTGTGCCAGGCACAGGTGTAGACCTGGGGATGCAGCGGGGCTGAAACCAATACTGATCTCCATTTAACAGATGAGAAAACTGAGGCCCAGAGGGCCACACTCCTAGGAAGGCACCGAGCCTGGAGGTGTGCTTGTTCCTTGTCCCCGTGCTGGGCCCTGGGCCGTCCCCAAGTAGTGGCCCTGGCTGGGGTGGAGAAGCCGGTCAGAGGGGCGGGCTGGGCGCGGCCCAGCGTGCAGTCAGGCCTCAACCAGCAGGGCCGGTCCTGGGGGAGCAGGGCCTCAGCTGAGTGGGCTGGACCCTCCCAGATGCCCCAAGCCAAGCCCCACCCCAGACCAGCCTCAGGCCCAGGTCCAGCTGGAAGCTACCAGGTCTGGACAGCTGGGGCCCCAGACAAAGGGGAGCCTGAGACCCCGTCCCAGAGGCCCTGGGGGTGTGCAGCTGGGGGTAGAAGGATAAGGACACAGGGACGAGCACGAGGCCACAGACGAGCACCCACACCTGTGGGTCTGCGTGTTCCTGTTCACACACGTGCTCCCATGTCTGTCTACGTCTTCTTTGCTCACCTGCTGGCGAGCATGTCTGTGTGTGTACATGCATATAGGGCCAGTGTGACAGGCTCCGGGCAGTGCGAGGACTCACAGGGCACGCACTCACGTCTGCACACGTGTGCTTACGTCATGCTTGTGCTGATGTTCATACCCCATCTGTGCACACGTGTTACCATCCTGTGACCCCCCCATCTGTGTGCACACACATGTGTGTGCCTAGGTGTGCATAGCACATTTGGGCTGTTTCAGGTGAGTATGCGTATGTGCAGGTGTGTTCCTGTGTGTTCAAGTATAGTGTAAGTACATCTGTGGGTGGACACATGTGACATACATGCACCATAGGCAGGTGCGTACCCGGTCACAGGGTGTGCAGGGACGTGTGGGCGTGTTCTGTGTTTGCACACACATGGACTGCTGTGTGGTTAGGCACCCACAGCTGTCCTCAGCACTGCTGGCTCACCACCCCGTCCCCCACTGGCCCCCGTCCAGCCTGAGGAGGGATTTCTTGGTTTAGCAGCAAGACCTGAAATAAATGACTCTGAGGGGCAGCTTCCGTGTCCCCACACTGAGGCAGGGAGTTCTCTTGGCCTCCTTTCTCCCAGGCTATCTGGGTGGAAGCCCAGCATGCAGTGTCCACTTCTGGCCCCACTCGACTGCCCCACCTCCTCTGCCAAGCTGAGAATAGACACGCGGGATTGAATCCAAACTGACAAGGTGGGGCCGTGGGGCCTCTGGAAGAGTTCGGCCTGATCCCACTGCACGGATGGGAAGACTGAGGACTGCCTGTCTTAGGCCACACAAATTCATGACAGCAGCCCAGGGCAGGGACGGGATAAGACGACCTCTCCAGGCCCCTCCCGGGTTGAGGGCCTCTGAGCTGTGACCCCCCACCAGAGACGGCATATCAGTGGAAGAACCAGAGGGACTGGGGTTCAAGTCCCAACTCCCCCACTTACTAGCAATGTGACCTGGGCAAGTGTCTTGCTCTCTCTGAGCCCGTCTTCTCAGCTGTAAAATGGGGTACTGAGTCCCACCTCACAGGCTGGCTGCGAAGCTCAAGTGAGATAAGATTAAATGAGCACTTGCTGAGTGCCCAGTGGGTGCTGGTCCCTCCTTGGGTTTCTGTGTCTGGTGGGGCCGAGGAACCTGAAGGGGTGGGGTGGGCCAGGGTCCTTCTGCCAGGAGTGGACCAGCCACTGAGGACAAGAGCTGTGATAACCCCCTACCCTCCCTGCCCTCCCCACATTCTGCCCCACAGTCCAGAACTGGGTGAGGGGCCACCCCAAGCCAGCCCATGCCTGTCTCCCCAGCTGCCCTGGGCCCCTTGGGAGTGTGAGGCCTAGGGCACCTCCCCCTGAGCCTCCTCCCCACTAGCCGCGCTCTGTCTGGAAGAGCAGAGGGCTCAGAGCAGGCCCTGCTGAGGGGACACTGTGAAGAGGGACCCTGGGCAGGAGGGTGGAGTCTGGGAGCTGGGAGAAGATGACGCGGCATAACCCCTGAGTCCTCCAACCTGGACCCTGTCCCCCGCACACCCACAGGCTATGAGGCCCTGGCCGAGGCCCCATGCCCCACACCACTGCCAGCCCAGCCACCTGAAGACGTGGTGTCCAGTGGTCCCGAGGACTGCAGCTTCTTCCCCAACGGGGCCTTTGACCACTGCCTGAGTCACATCCCCTCCATCTACACGGACACCTGAAGGAGGCCCTGCCCACCCTCCCCCGCAGACGCCACCTTGCCCCCCCACCGTGCGTGCCCACCCTCCGTGTACCCAACCTGGGCAGCCCGGCCGCAGGTCCTCGTGGACACAGGTAAGGGGCTGCAGGGCCGCCCAGTGCTGGCCGGGAGCCACCGTCCGAGCCCGAGCTGGTCGCTCAGCAGTGCCATCAGGATCCATGCCCGTGGCCTGCCCATGACTGTGTCTTCCTTTTCTCTCCCCAGTGGTTGTGAATCACAGACCTCGTGTATATAAAGTGTACAGAACTTGTTTTCCTTTCCCCTGCCAGTTTTATATTTTTGGTTTTACAAGAAAAACATTAAAAACTGGAAATGAGACTTGGGCCTGGCTCTGCTTTGTGATTCCACCTGGAGGCCCCCACCAGGAGAAGGCAGAGCGTGTGCAATAGAGAGCGGGGTGCGGGCGAAGGCCGCGTGGAACCCAACCCGGCCCTGGGTTCCCCCGTAGGGAAGGGGACCTGTGTCACGTGGCCCCCTACTACGTACTGTGGGCCTTCCAGATGCCAGCGTGAGTCCCAGGGCCTCACCACAGGGCAGGCGAGCAGACCAAGGCTGGAACTGAAATGGGAACCCAGACCTGTGTAGCCCAGGCCTTTGGTCTCTGCGCTGACCCCTCAGCTGGTGGGAGATGGCACTGGCTCCAGGCGAACAGGGCAGGCGGTCCAGGGACAGAGCCACACAGCCTCTAAGAAGGCGAGGGGCAGAGGCAGGGCCCGCAGGCAGCCGGGGTGCAGACAGCATCTCTTGTACACAGGGCCCCCCACCCACAGTGGCCCCGGAGGGAGCAGAGGCCGGTTCTGAGGGCCCCAAGGCTCCTGTGGGGTTGCCGGCCTCCCCTGCCTGTCTCTCCCCAGCTCTAGCACCTGGACAGTGTCCCGTGCCTCACCATGTCACCCTGAAGGGTCAGCTGGTAAAAAAAAACCCTCAAGGAAAATTCCTGCCTCCTCACTGCTAAAGTGAAATGAAGCGAGCGAGGCCACGTTTACTGTGCGCCTACTGTGTGCAAGGCCCTCCGTGCCGCTCTGGAAACAGCCCTGTGGAGGGTCTTTCCAGCCCCTCCGGTGAGGAGGAGCAGCCCGGATTCAAGCCCAGGTCAAAGGGCTGCGTCCCCAGGAAAAGCGAGGGGGGAAGCCCTAGTCAACCGCTCTCTCTATAGAGAGGGAAACTGAGGCTCAGAGAGGCCACCCAGCCAAGCGAGGACAGAACTGGGACTGGAGTCCAGGCTGTGTCATGGTCCCCCACTAGCCTGGGAGCTCTGTCACACCCACATGGAGCGCTGCTCCGTGCTGGGCCTGCAGGCTTCAGGAGCTCCTGTCCCGGCCGGGGCTCGCTCCGCCTCCGGGGCCCCCTGTAGGGATTGCATCTGGGGCTCCCTGCCTCCTGGCTTCTGGCTGGCGGGCTGAGCCAATGAGGAGCTCAGCAAGAGGGAGGCGGGGGTCCCTGGGACTGGCTGTGTCCTGCACTGAAGGTCACATGGCCCACCCTCCAGGTAGCGGCAGTGGCCCCCTGTGCTCCCCGTCAGGCGTGGGCTGGGGGCTGGTATTGTCCCCACACTTAGGAAAGTCAAGGCGCTGTCCCACCCCGTGTTTGCCTGACACCCTGCCCTCCCCGGGTCTCAGGATTTCCTTAAACCCCCTCAGCCGCCCCATCTGGGAGGGCCATTTGTTTCCTGCCAGAGCTGCCTGACAGCTGCCTCAGTTTACAGATGCAGAGACTGAGGGACGCAAGTTAAGGAACTTGCCCACCGGCATGGCCGCCAGCGTAGAGCTGGGAGTCTAACCTGCCCGGGCTCCAGAGCGCCTGCTCTCCCCGCTGCACCCCCTGCCCCTGGAAGACGCAGGGCGACCTGGCACCCACCTCCTCCCCCAGCCCTGGCCTCCCAGAGTAGGCCAGTCCAAGCCCCGGCCGGGAGGGACTGACCCCATGTCACTCAGCACGTCACTGCCTGGGACAGACCCAGGGCTCCTGACTCCCACCCAAGCCCCCTTTGCCCCAGTCCCATCCCCTACCGGTTTTATGGAACTAATTAAATGGTCACAGCAAAATCTCTTTAATGGGGATGCTCAGGAATCAATACTGCATGTCCCTGTAAGCACTTAATCCACTCCAGATAAGCAGAATTAAGCTGTACAATGCGGACGTATTTCTATTAATAATGAAAAGGGCTGAGCCGCGAGCAGAACACACAGGGAGCCGGCAGTTGGATCCCATTTAATTTCAGAGAGACCAAGAGAGGGAGAGAAGGAGACAAAAGCAAAGAGAAACAAAGGGACAGAGAAAGAGAACAGACAGGCTAGTGAACTGGAGACCAGGCAGGCACCCAGAGCCGGGCACATAGCAGGGCTCAGTAAGTTGCAGCTTCACCAGGAGCTGCCTATAAACATGATTGCTCCCCTGCCCTGCTGGGGTCCCCTCTGAGCCTCTGCTCCTCCTCTTGGCACCTTTAGGGGACCCTTCCACTCTAATGCCCTGATGCCCGCAGGGTCTCCCTCCTAGTCTAAGGTGGGCACGGAGGCAGGCGGGCGGGGCCGCTGAGAGACTGGACCTGAGGTCCCTTCTGAGCCAGCACTTTCTTTGTCCCTTGTTGAGAGAGCTGCAGCCCCTCCTGAGCCCCAACTGTGTACCCAGGACTCTCCAGCAGGAGTACACCCGATCCCACTGGGCATGGTGATTACTGCCCACCCTCACACACGGAGGGCCACAGTCGGGGGCGAGGGGGTGTGTAATGCTCACCTGGAGAGCCCCTGGGGGATGGGCCGACCCTGGGGCCCTGTGCCATCCATAGGACAGTGGAACTGAGTCTGCCCAGGAGCCCCCAAGGGAGACCCTGGGTGCAAGGACAGTGCCCAGGCCTGCCAGGTAACCAAGCTGCCCTTCCAGCCCAGCCACTCCAGACCACCTGCAGCCCTAGCCTTTGTCCAGTCCAGGGTGAGACAGGTGCAGATCCCCCTGCCACCTTGACTCTGTCTCCATCAGAGGCCCTCTGCCTTCCGTCCCCCTGGCCCCCCTCCCTCATCTCTCCTTGTCCCCCCTCCCCCATCTCTCCTTGTCCCCCTCTCCTCCATCTCTCCCTGGCCCCCCCTTCCCCATCTCTCCTTGTCCCCTCTCCCCCATCTCTCCCTGGCCCCCCTCCCCCATCTCTCCTTGTCCACCTCTCCTCTCTCTCTTCCTGTCCCCCTCTGTCTCCCCCTCGTTCCCCGCAGTTCTCCCTGGCTCTCCATCCTCAGTTTCCCTCTCTGTCTCAGGGTTTCTCTGTCGGTGCCCATTTGTCTCTCCCTCTCCCCTCCCAGTTCCCTGCTTCCTCCTCTCTCCCGGCTCCCCGGTCATTCCCTTGGTCTCTTTTCCTCCCTTCTGTCTTTCCCTTGCCCTCTTTACACACAGGTCCCCTTCGCTCCCTGCTTGCTCACTCCCTCCTCATCCTGGGCCCAAGGCAGCTGGTGCCTCACCCAGGGCAGCCAGCACTGGTCAGGGGCAGGGGCTGGAAACGATGTCCCAGAAGATGCCTCTGGGGCAGCGGATTGTTTTTGGTTTTTTCCCCAGTAATATTTTATCCACATTTACATATGTTTGGAGTGGGGATGGTGGAAGGGTCTGGTGTCGCCGAAGATCATCCTTCTGGCAGAAGTTGAATCTTCCAGCCCCTTGCGTCTACATTTGTTTCCTTCTGAGGGAAAACCCAGCCCCACCAACTGTTGCTTCAAACGTCTCTCGCGCGGGTCTCCAGCCACGACATCCACGCAGACGCCTCACAGTGGAAGTGATGGTGAGGCCTCCTTTTCTGGCAACTTCAAAGCTTCTGGGTTCATCTGCCTGCGATTCCCCCGTGCTGTTCAGGTTCTGCCGGCTCCTGGGCCCGTCCATCCCCGTGCAGCTGGCAGGACGGCCCTGAGCCACAGACCTGCGGACAGCCCCCTGGGGTCATTTTGCCGAGTCTGAGGCGGTCCGGGAGGGGCGGGCTCGGCGGGGGAGGGAGTGCCCCATGGGGACAGCGGCGGCCAGCCATGTCCTTCGGTGGATGTCTGCGGCTGTTGGCAGGTCCCTCTGCTGTGCCCTATTTCTGCCCCGGGGGCCGGAGCCTGTGATGCTGACCCCCTCAACCTGAGCTCCAAATGCCGGGGTCTCTGTGGTGAATGGGCATTGGGACCTCCCCTCTGCCTTAGGGCCGGGCAGGGTCCCTGGATGTTGGGCACATACCACGTCTGCCCTCTAGGGACTCCCCCGTCTCCTGAGTCTCTGTTCCTGCTGGCCCATGCAGCCCCCCAGACCCAGACCATCAGGGCTCAGGGGGCCCACTGAGGCCACCAGCTCACTCTCTCTCACTTCGCAGACAGGCACCCTAGGCCCAGAGGGACTCCGTTTTTGTGATCCCTTCCAGCCTCATCCGCGCCCCCTAATCCAGCCTAATGGAGGTGGAGAAGAGGGCGCCACACAACGGGGTAGTAGGGGTGACACACCAGAGTTGGATCTCAGGACTCCCCCTCTGGCCCGCTGCCGTGGATGGACCAACTGGGAAAGTTCCCACCAGAACGTTCGCCCCGTGCAGGCAGGTCCCCATGTGTCCCGCTCACCGCGGACCTCCCAGCTCCTGGAACAGCGCCGGGCACACAGCAGGCGCTCAGTACCTGCTCATTAGATACACCAATGGAGCAGGAGAGAGGGGAGCAGAGAAGCAGGAGCTGTCTGCACAGAACTGCGTGCATAGCAGGGCCACAGCAGAGACATGTCAATTTGGCTGCCCATCCAACTCCTCGTTTTCAAAATAAGGAGACAGGCCCACAGGGGCATGGACGTGTCCAAAGTTACAGAGCAGGCCAGTGACAGGCAGCAGAGACGAGGCCTCCTGGGCCCGGCCTGGCTCTGTCCCCACATCCTGCCAGTCCACCAGAAAAACTGTATCCCGTGCTTGACAGCCCCTATAGAACTCATGTGGCAGCGTCATGACACTCTGCGAGGCAGCGCCACCACCCATCTCACAGAGGGAAGAACTGAGGCTGGAGAGATCGCTGCCCGGGGCCCCAGGACTCGGGGCAGAGCCGGAATCCAGCGCAGGCCTGTCGCACCCGCGCCACCCTGCAGATCTGCATGAACCACAAGACGCAAGGGGCTGGAAGATTCAACTTCTGCCAGAAGGGTGATCTGCGGCGACACCAGTCCCAGGGCGGCCTGAGCAGTCTGGCACACGCCTCACCCCGCTGTCCAGAGGGGACCGTGACACTTTTACAAGGCTGGGTTTATGCACTCGCCTGGGCCTGGGCCCTGCCGGGGGTTATGGGTTTCTAAGTGATCGTGTCTCTGGGGAAAATGCAAATGGAATATGA